CCATCCAGGCCTCCAGAAGAACCGTTTTTGAACGATTTAACGGCCCTCAGCACCTCGGATGTATGTATGTATGTATGTATGTATGTATGTATGTATGTATGTATGTATGTATGTATGTATGTATGTATGTGTGCGTGAGTGTGTGTGCGTGCGTATAAGAATTTGTGCACAAGTGTGTACGTTCGAGAGTGACAGCGTAAATAAAGTAAGTATGATAGTATGCTAGAAGCAGAAAGTATTTAATAATAATAAAAGGAAGCATAAAAAATTTGAAGAAGGCTTGCGAAAGGTACCAGCGAAACAATCCAATTTTCTCCATTGCCTCCTCAGACAACCGAGCCACAAAACAGCCTTTCCTACCAGTAAACAAAACCTTTATTGCTCCGACCGGACAGAAGAAAAAGTTAAGCGCCAAAAAATTATGGCACGCCAAGTGGGTAATAAAACATTTAATTGACCTGATGCTGTATAGATCAGTGGGGTCCTTCGGCATGTGCGGCTCGTGTTTGAATGCTGAAAATTCGCATGGCGGGTAGAGGCAACAGGTGTTGAGAAATGTTACCTCTTTAAATAATTCATATGTGTCTGTGTGCGTTTGTGTGTGTGTGTGTGTGTGTGTGTGTGTGTGTGTGTGTGTGTGTGCGGGCATGTTTTTGTGTGTTTTTTGTAGAGACGGGTTAGCCCGAAGGTTAGTAAGTTATTCACTTAACAGCATTTTTTGAGAGTAAGTGAGTATGTAGTGGATGGATGTGCGTGCGTGTGTGTATGTGTGTAGGAGAGAGAGGATAGAGAGAGTGAGAGAGAGAGAGGAAATGTTATGTGATAGTGATAGGAAAGATTGCGAAGACAAACAAACACACAATAACGACGATAAAAGTGAAAAATGATACGATAGATAGATAAATATGGTGATCGAAATCTCGAAGATGTAAAGAAGACGCTAGTTGGGCAGATGATAATGGTGAGCAAGTGAATGTTAAGTAAATGATGAAGATAAGATCATGCTAGTAATGAGGATGTCGACGATGACGACGATGATGACGACGACGATGATGAATGTCAAGAGTCAAAAGGGCGAGGGCAAATGAAAAAGCATTAAACTACTCCATTGATTTATCGATATAAAAATACCGAAAGCCCATCTGCGTACATACAAAATTAATGTGTTTATATAATTTTTTAAGAACCAAAACGTACACACACACGCACACACACGCACGCAAAAACACAATGCACACAAATAAATTTTGATGTATTAGACATGTATGTATAATTACATTTTTCATTGAATATCTTGCTAATTATAACTTTTTGCTTCTTTTTCTACTTCTGTGTCTCTTGTTTTTCTGACTCCCCGTCTTTATTATTTTCTTTTTTAGTCGTTACTCACTCACTCACTCACTCACTCACTCACTCACTCACTCACTCACTCACTCACTCACTCACTCCCTCACTCACTCTCTCTCTCTCTCTCTCTCTCTCTCTCTCTCTCTCTCTCTATCTCTCTCTATTCCTGTTTCCTCTTCTCTCCTTTG